AATTTTTCCTGTACCCTGCGATTTTTTTTGCAAGTTGGTTGATACTTGTGAAGTCCTACAACATTAGTATGCTTAAAGTGAGCCTAGCCTAACAGCAGTTATCTGATTGTCAACTTGCTAAACTTTTTTACTAGTTTTAGATATGTGCTTTGAGAATCTCTTGTGAAAGACTTCCAAGAAAATAAAGGAACTACAAAGTGACAAATAGTTACTCCTACTGTAGTTTGACTCAAATTTAAAATAAAATATATTGATAACCTATGAGGTAATAGTACAGATGTAAGATTAAGTAACATTCTACATGATATTTTGGTGTTTTTTTTTTACCCTCTAGGTCTTGATAGAGAAAGATTGGATCTCTTTTGGGCACAAGTTCTCTGACAGGTAGTTCATTCTTCCAAATGTATGCAGTGAACTGAGCTAAGTATTCTTAAAAACAAAAGACAACTTGTGACTATTAAACTACTGCAGTGTTTCTAGAAATTTTGCAATGAGTAAGCTATTTTCAGTAGACAGTGCACTTTGTTGCCATTTATTCAAATACCTATTGGATAATAGATTTATACTATAGACATAAATTTCTTGTGCTACTGGTGCCTCACTCAAGATGTTGATGACTGCAGCTAGGTCTTCACATATGCATAGACAGTTGCAAAATGAGTCTACAGCTACATCCCAGCCATTTAGGCGATGTAAAACACTTAGTTTTGATAACTTTAAAAATTATTTTATGTTTACTTTTAATGATGAAGTCACACCTACCTTTAGAAGTCCTGTATGTTAAAGAGTTCTGTTTTTTCCCTTGATCTGCCTATCTTCAGCTAAGACAATAGCCTTGCTGCTATTTACTGCTTATTAATTTGCTTTTAGGTGGTATACTCCAGATGTCGACTATGGAAGTAATAGACACAAAGGAACTTAACTGTCTTATGTAGCTCTTCTGTACTGAATACAGATGTGTGATTACTTACAAGTCTGAAAAATACATTAAATATAGACTTATTTCTATTCAAAAATTGCCCCAGTTCTCAAAGTTACGTGCTTAGTCTCCAGACCAAAGTTAGTGTCAAATTAATGTGCTGTCATTTAAAAGCAAGTGCAGCTAAAACTTTCTTTGATTTATAACTTAAATTGGTTTCAATCTATTTATGGAATCTTTCAGGTGTTGTCAGCTGGATGGTGATCCCAAAGAGATCTCGCCAGTGTTCACCCAGTTTTTAGAAAGTGTGTGGAATCTGACTGAGCAGTTTCCACAAGCCTTTGAATACAATGAAGCTTTCCTCCTTCAGATCCATGAACATGTCCATTCATGCCAGTTTGGTAACTTCCTTGGAAACTGCCAAAAAGAGCGAGAAGAACTAAAGTAAGCAGACATATTGTAATGTGTCTTTTGTTTATTCTGGCAGGCTAAGAACTCCTGTGAATGATCTTCCTAATTTTAGGCTCTGAATAGAAATAGAGACAGGATTGGTAGTACTGAATATTATGTTGAACTGCATCAAGTAACAGCAGTGCTTCTCGTGCTTTTGCATGCTGAAGACAGTCTCTCTAATTCTGGGAGAAAATCCCATGTTCATTTTCATAGAGAAAGTTAAGGCTTCTTTCTCCTCCCACTTTTTCCTCCCCCCCTAAAAATAGGTAAGCTTAAGTTTAGGAGTATCACTTTGTTTCCTCCCCCAATCTATTTTTAGGTAACAATAAAATTCTTGCCTGCTCGAGACTGTCAGTTAGAAATATTAATAGGATGTCTCCTAATGCTTTCAGTTGAAAAACTTCTGTAAAGTTTTCATCAGTTCTTCTTTGTCTCAAATTGTGTCTTAAAAGCATTTTATTGCAGCTAGGCAAAACTTGCACAGCATAAACAGTAGTACTTCTAAAACGAATAGTTCTATCCAATATTAACATATGCTGGGAGGAAGCTGATTTTTACTAAGAGCTTTTAATTCAAGATTTATAAGTATATCTAGTAACTTAAAAAAAAAAGTTAAGATTGATTATGTTGAGTTGAACAGCTTCTGGTTTTTGCTTGCAGTCAGTGTCTTAACCTTGATCTCTTCTTGCTTTAAGATTAAAAGAGAAGACATATTCCTTGTGGCCGTTCCTTCTGGATGAAAGAAAGAAATACCAGAATCCTCTGTATAATCCAGACTTTTCTCCAGAACTAACTCTTTTGGAGCCTAATACAGTATCATTCAATTTTAGGTACGTTTAAATCATATACAATATCTTTACTTCAATTTTGTCTTTGTCCTGAGTAGTCAAAAATGTCTGCTTCATGCAGGTTTTGGAGAAATATGTACCATCAATTTGATCGAAGTATGCATCCCAGGCAGTCTGTGTTCAATCTTATAATGAACATGAGTGAACAAAATAAACAACTGGAGGAAGACATTAAAGAACTGGAAGCTGTAAGTATTGCAAAATCAGTTTGTGTACTTGTGACTTGTTCTTCAAATTCACATTTATAGTCCGTAATAATGCTGCTAGCTTTCACGTGAATGTCACTACTGCCTAGTACTTATTCTGTGTAATGTTGACTTTGACTTTGTATGCTTCCATACTGAATGCTAGATCATGCAGCCAGTGTTTTGCTCTTAGACGCAATTTATTTTGCTGCACTGATGAACTGTATTATGTAAAAGTGCTCCTACTATCAAAGCATTACTGAAGATGGCTTAATGTAGGTTAAATTTATGTGAAACATATCTTAGGTAACAGGGTACCCATCCTAGCTACAGCTGTGTTGCTAAACCAAGGAGACTGAAAATGTTTTATTTCCATTATAGCTACTGAAATGGAAGCAGTAAGTATTGTCCTTCTTTTAACTTCATATGCAGGGGCATGCTGTTGTAAGTGACCATAATTATGGGGCATATACATTGTAATATTTATTTGAAGACAGGGCTAAATCCAGAGATCATATTTCTATAAATGACTTCTAGGTGCTACAGTAAACAGCCAGGAAAGATTGAAGAGTGCATCTCACTCTATTCTAGTATGACTTAATCAGTGGCTTTTAAATGATAATCCATTATAGTCATTGAAGGTGCTGAAACTTCAGAATAATATCTTTTAAGAAATGCAAAAGTTTTTTCTAATTTTCAGTTTTATTTCTTTGTGTGGCTAGAAATGCTAACAACTCCTGTATGTTATGTCGGGAAGTACAACTTTTCTAGGAGAAAAGATTTTATTAAACTGATCCTACTGTAATGTAATGAATGCAGGTCACTTAAACTCTTTCAAATCTTAATTGGATATTTAAAAGTCTTTATATGATTGAAACAGCAAGATGAAAACTCAAGATGAAGAATAAGCAAGATGTAAAGTGAAGTCTCAGTTTTGAATTTTCTAGAACCTTGTTCCAAGGTGTTAACTTCACCTGAGCCCACATTTCTTACTTGAGTGATGAAGAGATGTAGTTGTTTGAAATCTTGGTGTAGACTTTCCTACTGCTGTTTCAATCTTCACAACGTTGGGATCAAGAGACACCAAAGTTTTCTGGGCTCAGTCACAGTTCTAATAGAGTACAAACACATGAACAAAAAAAAATCACTTCAGTTAACTAGTTCAAGCTCCCAGTTACTGGGTGATATTGTTTGAACTAAAAAAAAAAAAAACCTCACAAAAAAACCCCACCACCTTAATCCAGATCTTTCACCTTCTCTTGCTCAGTGCTTGCAGGGTAGGTCTTTTCCTCCATCCCTGCTTTCTAGTTGACATCTTTTAGTGTATTCCTGCATTTGAACAAACAGGCATTTTTCAGATCTAAAGGAAGAGTCTTTTAGCAGGTTTTTAGGAAGGACTTAAGGGCTTAGATATGAAACTGTTCTTTGTCTTAATTTAAGAGACTCGTGGTCTACTGCAAGCACCCTGCTTGCCTGTTTTCTTCTGCCTGTACTCCAGAAAATATTCCCATCTTAATAGCAACCAGACAAGGGGCAAGCCTGGAAGAACCTCTCCTTCTCTATGAACATTGGCAGGCAACCTTCCTGCATTCTACTTAGCTGTAAATTTTAAGTGTGTAGTGCTTGTAGCATCTGCTGTAAACTGTGGGGGGAAATGCTTTATCCAGTGGCCTAACATTTCATAATACTGTTACATATGTAACCTAGCGTGTGTAATAAGGGTTCTGCAGATGCTGGGTTGGCCAGCAAAAGAAGCAGATTCACTTCCTTTCAAAGCAGAATATTATCAGTAAAGCAGTTATACTCACTGTTAGTAACTGTTCTCCATATTTCAGAAAATAAAGCGGAAAAATGGGCAGTCAGATGCAGTCCTTGTGAAGGAGCATCAGCAGTCTGCTCATGCTGCACCCGTGGCACTGAAGACCCCTCCGTGCTTCAAGAAAGAGCAGCCACTGATCCCTGTGAATGATGCTGTAAGAACTATAGAGGGCAGCAACACAGCAGACAATCGCTACAGTGAATTTGTGTCAGAGTTCTCGAAAGCTGAGCCTGCTGTTGTCAGCTTGGAGTACGGAGTGGCCAGGATGACCTGCTAATTAAAATCCAGCACTGTGCTGCTCTTCCAGACTGATTGCATTGAGAGGGATTATTTTGAGGTTGGGTCTGTGCTGCATGACCAAAACATGATTTGTATATTGGCAAGTTTTGTTAACGTAAGACTAGAACAGCATGTTAGTTGTCAAGTGTTTGCTGTTCCTTTAAGAAAAAAAGATGTAGTTGTGTTTTAAAAGAAATAGGGCATTTGATAAGTAGTGACTAAAAATCAAGGAATGGTATGTCTTTGGACTTAAGTCAGTTTGCACTAAATTGATTAAAACTAATATTTCTTTATTCAGTATAGGAAAACACAGGTTGTCTTTCACAAGCTGATTTTATTTGGGCAAGAAAACTTGAGCATTCTATTTTAAGACTGAAGCTACATGTGTATATCACATATGATATGAATATGTATACCCTTGTTTAATGTCACCCAGTAATAACTTTCAGTGTAAGTGCCATGGATAAGTACCATATATTTCAAATCATAAATAGCTGGCCTTAAACCCGTCAGGTCATTGATATTGTTGTCCTTTGCTATTGCAGTTTACCTGGCTCTGTTTACATTGTATTTGCTCAAATTGGTATTTCCTTGAAACAGGACTGAATATAAGGAATGAACCATGCTTAAGCTGGCACAGCCTTTTGGCAAATAGCTATATGAATGTTAATTTATCACTGAAGACTGTTCTTTCTTCCAGTTCCTCTGTTTTAAAATGTAATAGATTGGCCTGACTTTCTTCTCTGGCAGCTCAGTAGACTGAGCATCATTGAAGCTACAGGTTGTGTCTGACCTTAGATGTTTTGATTTGTGGCAAGGTATTTAAGTGTAGAGTAAAACATGTCATGTAGGAAAACAAAACTTAGCCAATAACTGAATTGTGTGTGCTGTGCAGTTGTTCAAGTTGCAAGAATAGAAGCAGAAGTTTTGGAAGTATGGTCTACTGACATTGTTCCAAAGTACAAAAAAAAGTCATTTGTGTCTGAAGCTGATGAGAAACTGAGTGCCTCCTAAATCTTTCATTAGAAGAAAATTTCTGTTTTTAGTGAACCCCCCTTCTTGTCTTGTAAAAACTTGTCCAACCTGTGCATAGTTTAAATAATTTCAGTACAGTCTGAAGATTTTTATGTAATTGGAGAGAGAACAAAATTCTAGCAGGGTGCAGTAGAGATCATGGGACATAAGGGAAAAAAAGGGGGAACTTACAAACTGTAAGCTTAATTATGTATCTGTGATCTTCTAGTAAGGGAGAAGGTTTTGCTGAAGTTTGTCTCATGATGGATTTTCTGAGCAGGTAACAGCAGGGAAGAAAAATGCCAGTGCCCAGCTCTTAAACAGAGGTATAAAGTATAACTTTGGGTATTAAGGTCCGTAGGTATGACGTAACCAAAAATTATTTAAATACAGAGATAAAAGGTCAGTAGCATTAATCTAACAAGTGAAAATGAGTTTATTCTCATCCTAATCCCTGAAGCCTGTTTTGTTAGGATTACTGGTGTGCCACACACAATTTGACATAATTGGCAGCATTTCCCTATACCACCATATTGGATCCAGGACTCGTTATATTAACAAGGCCAGTGTAGGTCATGATCAAGTTGCACTTGTGAAGCTATCTAGGAGAAATTAACTGTGGCTCCTGTATTTGAATATTAATTCACCTGCTTGACTAATTTGGTGTTTTTTTTAAAAGCCTATAAGTATAAATACAGGTTCCTAAGTATATTTATTCCCAAATATGAGCATAGTGTCACCTTTAAAATATATTATCCAGTCATTTAAACACATTCAGATTTCTCCACTACAGTTTTTGATAGTTTCATGTTTGCACAGTGGTGCCTTACAGGGTTGCAGTAAGAGGTTTTCGTGCCTTGTTGTTTATCGTCTCCCCTTCTCCCTCACCTTCTGTATCAACTTGGTTCTGTGGTTTTCCATTGGGAAAACATCTTGTATATTAAACTTGTGTTGTATTGTAGTGGTGACAAATTTATCACTGACAATATAGGTAAGTGTTATCAATTTGTACTTGTTTGTTTTCATATTTAGCTGCTCTGGTGTGCCATGTACACTTCATATTTATTGTTTTGAGTTTATGACTCAAAAGATTATATTAAGCTTTTTTGCAAATACTGTTGTATGTTGTTGTTACTTTAACAACCATCTGAGTACCCCTGTATACAAGACTTTTAAAGATATCTGTTTCCTTCCTGTACTGTTAAAGTGAGTTTATTTCAGTCTTCAGACCTTTTTATTGGCAGAGTTTTCTTCTTAGCAAAAGCAATAGGGATGCCTTTTTATTTTAAATCAAGGTAGGCATGTTAGGTCAGATTTAAAATGTCATAAAACTATCTGCTCAAGCACAGAACCTGGTTCTTCATCAAAAAAATACAATACTTCCTGATATGAAGTAAATATTTTACTCCAGTTAATATGTGAATAGAATTTTATAAGGCAGTTTTGTAGAGCAGCCTTCTTGTAAAGTCCAGATAGCTCTGCCAACTCGGCCCCCAGGCTCACCAGTGAGAAAAGTTCCTGCAGAGAGGCAGCTGTCTCTTCTCATTTGCTGTTTAGGCTTAAGCCAGAACTACCTAAAGCACATGGGACCTGTGGTGAAGTAAATAGATGGTGGCAAAGTGAGCTCCAACAGAAAACTTGGCAGGATGGCCAGGACTCAGCACAGTGGGGCTGTTCTGTGTCCTTCAGGAAGGGTTTAAAAAACATCAAGCAAGTTGACTAAAAAACTGGCAGAAGCCTTCTGGGAGCAGAAAGAATTTTAATTCTTATTTCAGTGGATGAGCTTTTCTTCATTATGAACATGCTACTTCAAGAGCAGTTACAGTACTGAAAGGTGCCTGGTACAGCTCAAAATAACACACACAACTCTTTCAAGCTGCAACATAAACATGTAGTTGGTGCACTCACCAGTTGCTTGGGAATATAATGTCCCAGATAGAAAGCTGCTATTGTTGATTCCACTCCATTGGTTGCAAGACTTTGGCACCTGTCAATTCTGTGCTTCATCTTGACAAGGTCTCAGTAAAGTCTTTGTGTTTCTCTTGTTTTTGTGCCTTGCTTGATCTTTTTTCCAATCTGAATGCTGTAAAAGAGAAATAATTCCTTTTAGTTAACCAAGCTGATAGTCTCACCTGAGCAATTAAAACTGATTTCCCTTTGTACTCCAGGCAATTTAAAATACTTACTTCACTAGTACTAAAAGCATTGGGCTTATTTTTGGGACGCTTGCTGTTGTCATAATGTATTCTTCAATACAAGTTTAAATATCTGACAAAACAGAACAGTTGGATGACTGCCAAATCAACAGACTAAGAAATTAATTAAGCAACACTGAACTGGGCCTGTGCATTTTCCACACATGTCCTATTACTAGTGACCTAAATCTAGGGCAAAAGCCTGAAGTCTGGAGAGTCCATTTAGAGAATTGGAACAGCAGTCCTTCCATAAAGCTGCACATCTGTATGTGGAACAAATGCCCTGATATAATGTTCTTTTGGAGGGAAAACTGCCACAAATCAAGCTGTGACAGTTTGATGTGTCTCTTCCTTGGGATAAGCACCCTGGGGAATGCCTTGCTGGGAAAGGTGATGTGTTATTCCTCTGTAGCTGCCGTTTTCCTAAGGCCTCTTGATAAAGTAACACATCAGCAAATCTCTGAGAACTTACTGCTCCTGTTCTGGTAAACTAAGCACATTAACTGGATGCACAGTTAGGCTGAAGTGGGGCTGGGGTAGCCTGGCTTAACTACTGTCCTCTTAAGGAAGTGACATAAGTAATATAAAGAAATTTGATGTTAAAATAGCACAGGGCACATGCTATCAACATCTGTTCCTTAGAGTCCTGCCCTGCTCTTGAGCAAGTGTGGCTAGCATGAGGGCCTTGCATAAGCATGACGATTGCTTTCTAGTTAGTTTGATGATAATTTGATTTCAAACGAGATCATCCCTCCACAGGGGTAATTTGTAGATCTTTAGGTCAGAACCTAAAGGTTGCTCTTAAAACTCTTGTTTAGTTGCTAATAGTTCTAAACCTGTAGCTGATCATAGACTAAGGTATACTAGTCATGAAACCTGTATTAACCTTTAGGATTAGATCTTTAGATTAGACAGAAGTCTGCTTTGACTTGCTTTCACCATTTATGCCACACTTTCCTCCAAGTGTTGCTTATTGTGGTGCTTGATACCTGTCTTTCAGATGTAACAGGCTTCTTAATGCTTTGGATATTTCAAAAACCTGGAAGTACTGCAGTCTTCTTCCACTACTCTGAAGGCTCAGATTAGCAAACAGTATGGGTGAACTTATGTTTGATCTAGCTAGCTTGACCTGCCTACACGTTAAATGGCATTGAAAATCAGCACGGCTTCGTAATTCAGTGGTGCAACCTCTGTATGCACAATAGGCTTAAGCAAGAGGATGTAGTCAGGACCTTTGTCACAGCGTGTAGCAAGGAACAGGACCCTGCCGGGTTATGACTCGTAAAAAGTAGAAGCAGTAGAGCTGTTTTGATGTCTGGCAGCAGCCTGGGGACTTGAGGTGGAAGGTCAGAGGCATGCTGCTTCTGAGATCGGTTTCCAGGTCCCAGAAAACTCAGTGACCTGGTCTGTTAAACACTTGTAGCTGAGCGATTCTGCACTGGCATCAAGCGACAGAAAATATATATGGATCTGTGTTTCTTCATCTACTGGCTTCAAGTAACAAATGTCCTGGTGGTGACTTTGAAATCGGGGTGCAATATTTCATTTATTCTTGTTTATACTTTAACTCTTGAGATCAGTTGTATATTGTTTATAATTAAGTGGGATTATAGTTTTTGACACTTACTATAAAAGCCCTTGCCATTTAATGACAAGGTTAGCCTGTACATATCTTTTGTGGTTTGTATCTCTGCATATATTTCTGCTGAGTGCTTTTCTTGCAAGTAGGCAGTGTTGGTGAAGTCCCATGCTGCCCCACAAAGGCGTTTCTTGTTACGTAGCATTACAGATTGGTTTCCTTGCTCTGTCTTACTGTTCAATCTTGTAGTTTATCTTTACAGCTGTCTGTTGGCAATGTGGCTTGACAAACATCTTTCTATCAAAGGAAACGGGTTTGTTGTTTTTTCTGCCTCTCAGGGATTTTTACCCCTGAACTAGTGAACTTGAAAAATATTGCTTATTCTCCCTTTCAGGGCTTCTGAGTGCC